ATCGACCCACTTGCACACAGCCAAAAGGCAAAGAGGCAAAGAAAAGAGGAAGGGAACAGCCAAATACAACAAAACAGGGAGAAACAAACATAAACCAATCCTAGATGACAAGTCCCACATGCAAGCACCGCCCCCACCATCAGGGCCAAACAACGGGACAAGACCAACCAGGATTCAAAACACCCTTGCCTGCAAACAAACAATCCCAGATAACATACCTTTCGTGCGCGCCAGCTCCAAGAATCCTTTGCGATTGATTTATATACATATATATATATATAGTCTCCCTCTCTGCCTACGGTTTACCGGGCAGCTCTGTTTGACCATATATATCAGCAAATAGGACTGTCCGATAAACCGTCGGCAGAGAGGGAGAAGAGGAAACCGAACGAGGGGCTGTGACAAACTATTTCGTCGGAGTTCCACTGCCTCATCAGGAGGTTTAGGCCGCAAAATAAATGCCGTGCCGATTCATTGCATTTTCCATTTTTGCCACTCTACCACGTTTATGCTTGCTTGGAAAGCCTGAACCTAGCCTTAAAAGCTGTCAGGCTCATGATTTCCCAGCATCAACATCGCACCAGTGGGGCCTCTGACCACACGCACCAGTGACCCTATGTTCATGCTTGGAAAGACTGAACCTAGCCATAATAGCGGTCACGTTCACGATAAGCTGTGGATCATGCTGACGTCCTTTCACACACACAAACTGTCTGCACACCAGTCGCACTCCCATGTGCAAAACATAAAAGACAAAAAGAAGGGGGGGAGAGTAGCAATCCCATGTGCCCACCAACCACTCCACCTCACTACAATCTTCATCCGGATTAGAACGTATGGTCATTATCACTGTACCTAGACTGAAAACTGTTCCAAATGCAGCTATAATGACCGTACGTTCCAGTCGGCGGCAGACAGCAGCCCAAAAGTGGGTGGGGTAATGGGGTATAGAGTGGATGGTACAGCACACAACTGTCTGCACGGCTCGCTGCTTCCACTCCAGAAGTCAGCGGGGTGCCCACCAACTTCCCCCAGATAGAACCCATGGTCATTATATAGCTGTATTTGGGGCAACTTTAAGTCCAGATTCCACGATAATGGCCATGCATTCTACTCAGGCGTACATGGTAGGTAGTGGGGGGCTAGAGTGGCTGGTAGAATATCTTCTTTTCTGAAATTCGTTTTTCTGAAAACGGTACGGGAAATACCTCCTGCACGTATTATTTTTCAAACTGCGAATATTCCCATGGGAATAAATCCGAATATTTGTCATTTCTGTTCGGACTTTTTTTCGCAGTTCTTGGATTCTGTCAGTTGGTTCTATAAATCGGTTGCAGTCTAAAGTCGAATTTTTTTTTCGCTTTCAGAGATCATTTCGTACTTCAAGGGAGATTGGGAGACCTACCGAACTTGCAAAAAAAATCAGGATTTT